CTGCGTGAGATAGTAAAAGATATGAGACAGCGTGGCGGCAGTGGTGTCACTGCCAGCGACGATGATGGTGCGCGACTCGCTCTGGAGTATCCGCCGCTCCGTATCGGAGGGGTGCGCATCGGCATGCGCGATGAGCAGTGAGGCGAGATCGTCTTTGTCACGGCCCTCGGATCCGTGCTTTCGCTCGTCCGCAATCTTGGCCGCGAGCTGCTGGTTGCAATACTCGATAAAATCCCAATACTTAGCTGAAGGCCCGGGCACCGCCGTTAGCATGCGGAATGCCCACACCGGTAGCCTAAGCCCCAGTATAGCAAGTGAGGCATCCAACAGCGCGATCGCCCAGTGCTCCTGGCCGCTGCTGAGCATCCTAAAGTCGTGTCCGAACGCCAGGGCTCCCATCACATCGAAGCTGTAGTAATTGAGCCACCGCGCCGCATCGGTTGGCGCACCCTTGAATTCGACAAGCCGCGAGACAAGCTCTGTGTTGTACGCGTTTACCTGGCTCTCGTAGCCCCTTAGTGCTCGATTGCTAAACGCCTGGCTCCAGATCCGCCGGCGCTCGTGGTGCAACTTGTGATCACGGGTCATATGGATCGACTGGCGAGGATACTCCGCGTCGTACCACGCGGCCTTGCGGCAGGCGCTCTGAACTCCATAGATAGCTGGCACAGCTTTTGGATGCACGATCATCAGCTCGGAGGATCCAACGCGGACAAACGGCCCGTACTTTTTGTATAAGTCTAAGGATACTAGGTGGTTCTGAGGTTTGATGTTCTGCGTAGAGATCCATAGACTACTGATGCGGGCGGCGAGGGGACCGGGGAAAGCCCGCAACGGGTGCCAGAACAACCGGTAGCAAAGTAGGCTACCGAACAAACCTACAGACACATGCCCGGTGCAAAGACCGACGATAACCAAGGACGACTTGAAAGCAACGCCGTAGGCGATAGTGAGTGTACTAGTGGCTACAAGACAGGTAATAACGAAGGCTTGGAGATATCTGACGCCGTACATGTGGTGCTCCCCTCGTTTGAAGTACAAAAGGTGGAGGGCCACACCAAAGAGCACCGCAAAGGGTGCCACAGTAAGAGAGAACAGTGCCATAGCTATAGCCAAGAAAATTGAGGCTATTGGTAAGATATATTCACAATGTACTTAGATAGAGAAGAGCAGAGCGCTATGAACTGAAGAGCTAGAGAATCGGCTATCGACAATTGTGCGTTCATACATATACATACATACATACACACACACACACATATATATATATATATACATATTCATTACACTGGAAGTACTCCTACGTAATGAATGAACTGAATACGCGTGTATAGTAGTACAAAATTATACTTTGGTAAAATGCAAAGGGGGGGTTTCGGTAGCAGCATCTTGATCAACGGCCGTATTGTTTACGCAGTGCTACAGAAAGGACTTACGGTTAAACATCTTAACTAAGGGGTCATCCCCCTCCCCCCCTTTTATCCTGAGTCGAAGCAAACCATCGCAAAGGGTCATCGTAATAATAAGCCATCGAAACCCAAAAGATATCAACTGCGACCAGCATTTCTGCACTCGGAGAGGCGTTCATGTGTGCATGAGAGAAGGAGTTGGTTTCGGGGGAATATACGAAAATTGGACTATGATATCACTTTGATTAATTCTCACTACGTCTCAGCCGGGTTCGACTAGAACAGGTGCCCGATTCCTGGTTTAGTATACGATTGCTGCGGCAGACCCGAGGGCCACCAATCTCTAAGGTCGTCTCTGCTTTCCCGAATTTCGATACCGCCAATGAGGCTATTCCCGAAATAACGGTAACGTTTAATTCTCGGTACCGAGGGGGTTAGGAAGACTAGCTGCTTTATATTTCGGGAAGGGTGTATCAGAGGAGCTTCTCTCCCTTTCTACTACGTAAAAAAGAGGCTAAATAAACTGTCAGATTTGGTCTCTTATGTTGTTATTTCATGACGTGTTTTCCGCAGGTAAAAGATGCATATTGGGTACCGAGATAAACCGTTTGGGTCTAGTTAGGGAGCAGTTACGGCTATTTATTCCTATACCGTCAAAAGTTTCCTGTACCCCATAAATTGACGCTCCCGTGAGACATGATGAGATATCTTTTCTCTTGGCAAATTCCCACAGAATCTTATAAAATAATCAAAAACTCCATTACTTAACAAAGAATAAAAAAGAGAAACTAATATTTTCCCATGGCAATAAATCTTACCATGGAATATCATAGGTTTTTCTCATGGCGTCCCATTGTACAGCAGTAGGAGCCCTGAAACATTATAACCTAGATACATCTTGAGTGGTCAACAAGACAACCGACGGGTTCCTCGAGGTTAGTCATTGCAAGACTAACGTTCTTTGATGCTACTTCGTAAGTGCTGGACCCAGATCTTGGTAATATTTCTTTTACATGTCGTGAACAAGCTCAGCATTAGGAAGATACAGACACTACGCTTAACGGTTACAAATAATAAAGATTGCGTCTGCTATACAATGTCAATTTTTCATATCTCTTTAGTAGAGTTAGAATAGATGATGTTGCTTAGAAATTCCTAGGGACTATCCTAGACTTAAACTGAGTATGATTAGAGATCACTTGAGGGCAGGGGGAACTAAGGTGGGGCCGTCATGAGAAACCGGATTCATTCCATCGTCCCACTTTTAGCCGTCGGAGTGCACTCCGTTGTTAACGCAGATGTCGGTGTTAAGCCGTGTGAGTTGGGAGTAGTTACATGTATACGACAAAGTATATATAGGATATAAACTTACGTGATCGGAGATAAAGCACACATAGAGTTGGAGTTAAGGGAGGGCCTTTGACATAGGTCGGATTTCGAAATCCGGAGATTTGGAACGCCGATAATCTTAGACGTACTACGCCTCCTTTTCACATCTTGAGCTTCAGCTTGAAGCACCTCGATTACCAATCAAGAGATAACCATCTTTGCAGTTGGGTAATCACTCCAGCCCTCTCTTCTTGTAGTGTTGTCTGTATTTAAACAATATACAGAAAAGATTTGGTGACATGGATTGCCCTACTTAGGTTCTTCAAGATTTAATCAGTATCGCCATTATACCAATCAATAATATAGCCTGGAACACTACGCATACGTTTCTATAAGTCCACCATGGCAAAGACATACGACACCAACACGACTGCTGGCGAACTTGTCAACGAATACGCCAGCATTATCAAGAACAAGACCATCCTAGTCACCGGCGTTACTCTCGGCTCGATCGGAGCGGCATACGCCGAGTATATCTCCAAAGCGCAGCCCGCCCTGATCATCCTCACCGGCCGTAGCGATGACAAGCTCCGAAAGACGGCCGAGAAGATCGCTGCTGTGGCAACAGGCGTCCAGATCCGCACCCTAAAGCTGGACCTCGGATCGCTTGCGGCGGTGCGCCAAGCAGCCGCTGACGTCCACTCGTGGGTCGACGTGCCGCACATCGACGTAGTGGTTACTAGCGCCGGCCTCATGGCCACAGATTACTTTCTCACAGCGGACGGCTTCGAGGGCCAGTTCGGCACGAACCACCTGGGCCACTTTCTCTTCACGAACTTGATCATGGACAAGATACTGGCTTCTGAGGCCCCGCGGGTGGTCAGCGTGACGAGTGATGGTCACCGTCTGAATCCCATCCGGTGGTACGATTATGGTTTCGATGTTCGTGATTTCCCCCTTTTCTGTTCTTTTCTTGCCTCTTTTTTTAAACCCCCTAGTGGGCGGGGGGGGGGGGGGGGGGGGGGGGGGGGGGGGGGGGGGGGCGGGGGGGGGGGTGGGGGGGCGGGGGGGGGTGGGGGGA